AAGGGAACTGACCTTCGGATGCTGGTTTTTGTTGAATATTAATCACACCCCATAGTCATCTTTGTGCACAGGCAGCCATCACACATATGACCGCTTATGCCCACACTGCTTTGTAGTCCATTTTTTCCTCACTGTTTCATTGTCTTGGGCAGAGAAACTCATAAAATCTGACTGCATAGTGGCTCTCCTCACTTGTATCAAAGACAATCCCATTTTAAGGAGAAGATGTTGCTAAGTATCACTGCCGGGCTGAACATCAGCAACCCTTCTAGTTGGCGGAAAACGGTCTTTTCGCTTCTTTTCTCATTATTCCCTCAGCTCCCTATTTATTCCTGTCCACTGTGTCTGCTTCCAGCTCTGCCTCATTTCTCTCCTTTGTCATAATTTCTTTTTTTTTTTTTTTTTATTTGACAGAGAGAGACACAGCAAGAGAGGGAACACAAGCAGGGGGAGTGGGAGAGGGAGAAGCAGGCTTCCCGCGGAGCAGGGAGCCCGATGCGGGGCTCGATCCCAGGACCCCGGGATCATGACCCGAGCCGAAGGCAGACGCTTAAAGACTGAGCCACCCAGGTGCCCCATAATTTCATTTATTATCGTTTACATCATCCCCACTTTAGGAACTCGCTCCCAGACATATTCCATACTTAAATTTCCTCTTTTGTTTCTTAGCAAAACTCCCTTGTCCCAGGTTGTATGTTCTCCAGCCCACATTCCATAACACTTTAGAAAAATCAACACATGCTAACATGTTAATAGGCACAAATAACATAACTTAGCATCTACTTCACCCACAAAGTGACAAACTAACATTACAATTCCCCAAAGAAGGACTCCTAAGGCTGGAAAACTTCAGGTAAACATAGAGGAAGACAATATTTTTGGACAGTGGCTGTGTCTTCTAGTATTCTTCAAATCCCTTAAGTGTTTGCTGATGCATTGGAAGTAATATACAGTACTCCACTAGGGGCTGATGGTCTGTTTGTCATATGAATAAGTAACCAACATGTTTTGTGCTCCTCTGGTCTCATTTTTCTTTCCAGGTCCTAGTCATGGTAGTTTACCACATGGTATTTGGACAAGTTAGAGGGAGCAGAACAAGTAATGGTAAACACTCTTCTTCAGCAAAGGCTTCTTGGAAACAGAATTGGGATAAGCAGATGGTGAATGTCACATTGGATCAGCTGCATTGGATAGACACCATGGAAGAGTCTCAAAGGACCCTGGTTGTCCACCCTTGGCATTAGGCAGTGACGCAGATCTGACATAGGCTGCTTTTATGAGTAGCAACTACTGAACACTGTTATTGTTTTTGATGAAAAGAGCCCTGTGGATTGTTTTTGCTCTGCATATTAACAAAGAAGAAAAAGACAGCCAGGTTATTTCTTAGAAGCAGCAAGAAAGATTTTCCCTTAAAAATGTGCAAGATACATTTCTGCTGGAACATATGCATGCACACGCACACACAGAGACAAAACAAAACAAAATAAAACAAATGAAAAATCCTTTCATCCAGAATTCGTGGTTTGCTTTCTTTTATTCCTCAGTATATGTGAATATGTGAAAATGCACAACACTCAGACGTGCAGCCTGGTCGAGTGATAATCTCTTAAAATGTGCCTCTATTTAAAGCAACAAACAGATGGAGGGTTTATGAGCAAGGCTGGTAAAAGTAAAAGCAAATTATTGTAATAGTTGTACTTTTAATAGGATTCCCCACAATCTAAAACATTATTCCCCAAGGAACAAATTGTTCTATAAAATTGCATTACTTAGGAAAAAGACAGTCTGCCCTGACTTTGCAGAGGCAACAGAGGACTCTGGATGGCCTTCTATTGCAGCGGCTCTCAAGGCAGATCGGTGTCCCAGGAGAGAGGATACAGGGATGTCAGCTACTGTGATCTCCTAAGAAAAAGCTCAGTGGAATAGGGTAAAAGGCAGAAGGACCAAGGAGCCATTGGAGGTATGAAATAATTCTGAACTTTGATTGAATTTCTTACCTTCTAATTTTCTACTTTAAAAAACAAGGTTTGGGAAATTCTTACAAATTTAAGATAAGCAAGCAACGTCATTTCCCGCTCTATCGACTCAGACCAACATCTCACTCTACACAGTGAATCTTGCTCCACAAAGAGTGGAACTGTAAACAACCCAACACAAATTCATGACCATTATCCCTTTTCAAGAGAAACAAAACTTGTAATAATTCTATCATAAGATGAATGGACCGTAGTGATGGCCTTTACGTAAATGATAATTAAAGCTAATCTTAATTAAAGTTATTACACCATTTTGGAAGAAAATAAACAACCCAAAGAGAGGGAAACAATGTGGTCAATAACTCACTCCAAAAATACTTTTTGCCTCCAAAGCTCGCATTGAGGGAGACATTCCTGTGCATGATACAAATGGTTCTGACATTAAGAAAAGTAAACAAGTAAGAAAAATAAAGATGGAAAAATTCTGTGGTCAGTTCACAAGTGCTTTTTTATTGTTTGAGGCAGGGTTAAAGCCTTTTATAAAGACAAGGATATATGTGCTGGTAGATTGGATATGACATTGGATATGACTCGTCTAGCTGCCCTTGCACAGAAATCTGGCTGCCCATAATATGCCATGGACAAAACATGTGTTGGTGCTTCTAAACAAAGAGCCAGGGTGGGACCTAAGGCAGCTAATTTAAAGCATTACCCAAATGCTGTTTTGTAGATCAAACAAAGAAAAGGTAATCAGCTCTGGTTATTAATGGATTTGAGAAATAAAGGTAAACATTTCATATCCTCTAATTATTAATGGCCTTGAGGATTTTGATCTAATTTGTCTCCATAACTGATTAACTTGCATAATCTACAAGAGGGACTCCTGCCAGCCTTGTTGCAAGTCATTCAAGGACTGTGTTGACTCAGGAGCCCAGAGGCCACGTAAACAGTCTAGAACTGAGAAAGTAGGTTCGTCTCGGGTCCTTGGGGATTGTGAGTCCCCGAAGACTTGTACAGTAGCGACCCTCTAGTTCTGTGTTATCTATAACTTGGAAGGACTTTCTTTCAGGTTTTGGTGTCCTTAACCTAACCTAATCCTGGGAGATCCAGGACAATGACCACCTGGTCTAAACAGAAGAAGGAAAAATAAATGCTGTTGTTTCAAGAGCACCCAGCCTTTCAAATATCTCCTAGAGTGATTTTACCAGTGTATCGGATATTAAATGAAATTATAGCCCCCCCCTACGATTATGCTTCTTTTTCTTATAACATTAGTGCTGGAATTTAGCCAAAGATATATACAAAGACCATCACACAAGCTTATGGATTTCATTTCTGAGAGGTCCTGAGGAAAATTCAAAGGGTTTGTGCCTTCTATTAAAAACTGCTTGGTCTGGTGGGTGTTTTCTGCAGTCCTCCTTTTCTTTTTTAACTTCTTGGCCCTCTAGACCTTCACTCTATTTTTATCACCTCACTATCTTTAAATAGTACCCAAAGGAACAAGCCAGCTCCAAACTACAAATATGGCCACAGGCATTGCTGGACATATGTGTGGTTAAAAATAAATAAATAAATGGATAAAGAAGATGTGATATATATATATATGTGTGTGTGTGTGTATATATATATATATATATATATATATATATATATAATGGAATATTATGCAGCCATCAAAAGGAATGAAATCTTGCCATTTGCAACAATGTGGATGGAACTGGAGGGTATCATGCTGAGCGAAATACGTCAATCAGAGAAAGACATGTATCATATGACCTTACTGATATGAGGAATTCTTAATCTTGGGAAACAAACTGAGGGTTGCTTGAGTGGTGGGGGGTGGGAGGGATGGGGTGGCTGGGTGATAGACATTGGGAAGGGTATGTGCTATGGTGAGCGCTGTGAATTGTATAAGACTGTTGAATCACAGACCTGTACCTCTGAAACAAATAATACATTATATGTTAAAAAAAAAAGAAGAAGATAGCAGGAAGGGAAAAATGCAGGGGGGGAAAACAGGGGGGGGGTCGGGGGGGAGATGAACCATGAAAGACTATGGACTCTGAGAAACAAACTGAGGGTTCTAGAGGGGCGGGGGGTGGGGGGATGGGTTAGCCTGGTGATGGGTATTAAAGAGGGCATGTACTGCATGGAGCACTGGGTGTTATACGCAAACAATGAATCATGGATCACTACATCAAAAACTAATGATGTAATGTATGGTGATTAACATAACATAAATCAATCAATCAATCAATCAATCATTCAGAGTCTTTGGTGCAACCAGCACTTGGTGCTGGGAAAGATGCCTGACATTGCCTACTATTCAGGACAAGAAGTGGATTTAGAAATATACAAAACGAGATCAAGTCTACGCTTTTGAGTTAGGGTTTAGGGAAAGCTATTTACTCCAATAAGGGAAGTGTAACAACACAAAGCCAGCCATAAATGTCTGACCTGGCTGAGAACTTATACCTTCCGTTCTCTGAAAAACTGCAAACCAGAATGCACTGCCTGTAACAATGAAAGATGCTAAAGGACAGTGTATGTTGCGGAGGTGGTGGGGGCGGCTGTGCAGAATAGAAGGGATTAAAATTTAAGGTGAATAAGGGAGGGTAGCCTTCCTCTAAACTGTGACTCTTTCACTAAAAATCAACCCACAGCACAATGGTATCAGAGGGCTCTCTACTCAATAGGCAAGCTGAAGACACAGTCTCTCTTGCTTGACTACAGCCGATGAGCATGCTCAGGGAGGCCCCAGGTGTGACCTCTGCTCCCCTGTGAGAAGTGGAGGGGCCAGGCAATCTATCATGGTGTTCCTCCTGTCAGCCCTGGTGCTTCGCTGCCACTGTCTGTCACCCTAGTGGATGAGACCTGCTTAAGGGCAATCATGTCAATCTCTATGTGACCACTCAGTCTAAGGCAAAAGGATGATGTTGACAGGCCTGGCAAAGTCAGCAGAAGGTACCAAAAGCGGAAGTCATAGCCTTCCCACAGAGACGCAATGTGGGCCATTGTTTTTTCCTTCAGCTTTTTCTTTATTTTTACGTGCCCTTTTTCTTTTATTCTCATGACACAGGCTAAAGCATACAGAACTTGCCATCAGAGCTGGTCGTCTCGGATAAACCTGTTGCCCTCTGAGTTTTTCCCATAGTAAACATAGTGGCACTTTCCCAGGACACCTGCAAAGAAAAGCAAACACATCTTCAGAGGTGGTGCGATTAGTACAGCAAGGAGGCACAGGTGCCAAAAAGCAGATAGGCAACATGGTCACAGATCCAGTGGGTGGCAGCAAATGGAGTCAGCCCCGAGAGGGAAGGACCCTACTTTCTTGTCCTCAGAGTTGACACTCAAATAAAATGTCACCAGAGCACAGGCTTCTAGGAATAACGTGTTTCCTGCACAAATTCTTTTCCACCTTTCAAAGACTTTTCTAGTTTGGCCTAGTACACCTTAAAATAAAGCATAACGCTTTCTCTAGGTTCCCTTAGTAGAGTTTCTAAAAATGGAAAATTAAGACTTTCAAGATGGGTCCTACCCAAGCAAAAGATGTAAAACAATCTTCCCAGAATGTGACTCTTTTCAAGTCCTTCGTCATGAATCAAGATTATGACCTTCCAGGGAGAATCTTCCAGATCTCAGGAGGCATCAAACACATCTGGGTGATCAAGGAACAGTGGTGGTGTTGACAAAATGCCACATGGAAATTAACAAGAGCCTCCAGCATTAAAGGGCTTCTTCTTCCCCCTTTTTTTTTTAGGTTGGCTCCATGTCCAGCATGCAACCCAACACAGGGCTTGAACCCATGACCCTGAGATCAAGACCTGAGCTGAAATCAAAAGGAGTTGGACGCTTAACTGACCAAGCCACCCAGGTGCCCCAAAAGGGCTGAGATGAATTATCAGGTTGGAATGTCATTGATTTTCATCTTTAGTTTTATTTTAAATAATTCTGTGACTCCATGTACAGTTTTTGTTTCATTCAAGGAGACTGTAGGAGAGTTTAAGTATGAAAAATACCTCTAGAGTAGGATCAAATTGTTTAACCAACTCAATATTTATTCTAAATATCCATAAGAAATCACCTGCCATAGTTATTATGAAAGCTTTGTATGATCAGTAAGGGAAAATCAGTTTTTCTCAAAGAAAATATTTATAATTACAGTTTGCTTTTTGCCACATTTTTCTTCTAATCTTAGAAAAAGTAACTTAAAATTCAGCTTCACAGAGTTGTCTTATTACTAAAAGTACGTGAGTCTCTGAAGTGTGCATAACCAGAAAAAAGCAAAGAAATGTCCATAAAACATTAATTCATGAGCCAAAAATCTACCTGTAAAAATAGCTCCCGATATGTATGATTATTTTTTTTTTTTCTGTCAGTTTGTTAGTGTGAAACCAACAATCACCATCTATTGCTCATTTGGGGTAAATTAGTACTTGAAATCATCCAGGTTTTTCACAGCAGAAGTTCTAAGTAAATGTTTTGGTGATTCTACAAGAGATAATTCTCTACTACAGAACTTTAAATATTATTCTTAACAAAGGATTAAAAATGGCTCTTAGAAACTTTTAAGGACAGGGCAGATGCTCCCTGGTTTGGATGGCCTGGGACAAAGCTGGGAATTCCTGGGGTCACAGAATCTCTTGCGAGTTGGCAAAAGGGAGAGGATGACATTGTTTTATGGCCTCAGGCTGGTCTTGGTGCTCTCATTTCTTCTGTTTATCACGTTCCCATGAATAAATTTACTGCAGACTAATCCTCCCCCTTTAGCCATGCTTTCTCCTTGGCCCCAATCCCGAGTTTCTACTTTTCAGAAATTAGGTGCTTGGAAACATCAACCTTGGATAAGACCTCCTTGAGATCCTTCTTGGGGCTAAAAATGATTCCTTTGGCTGTTGGCAGCACCGAGCTGCTCCCTTTATTGTACTGTATTATGTAGCACCTGAGGTTGTACTAACATTGTCACCAATGCTGGGAGCTGGCCTGTTGGTCAGGCTTGGCTGGTCAAGTTCCGTTCCAGAAACAGTATCCCCTACAGGCCTGGGTGCGAGGATCTCAGATGTTTCTGCAAATCCACAAAGGGCTTCCTTGAACATAACTGACTCAAATAAACCCTCAAAAATCTGGAAGGATGAGGCCAAGGGATGTTAATTTCTTTCTACAACACCAGGACAGCATGAATTTTTATAAAAATAAATGGATAGGGCTGTCAGATATCATAAAGAACACAGTCTTTCTCTTGAGTAAAAGAATGAAAGGCAGACACGCACACACACACACACACACACCACCCACTGGTGGGTGCATTCTCTCCAGTAAACCCTCCAGTCCGTTCAGGGACTGAATTTCTTTACTCTATCCTCTTTCCTTGGTAACCGTCAATTCCAGACCTTGCCTAGATACAACCTGGACGGCAAGTGCCATCCTGGAAACAAGCTGGCTACTCCTGGAACGTGGGCTGGAATGTGGAGGGAGGGAGGTGAAGTGTTCTGAGCCCTGTTCCCCAGGCCTTCTTTCTGGTCGGCACTGATGAAAGTCCTTTTTAAGGCTTTCCCTGTTCCTTGGGGCCTGGAAGCAAGAATGTTTATAGACATCCTGGTGAGAGAGGGCTGTTTGACGAATGCAGGAGACTGGCGAGGTGTCAGAGCTTAGAGAATGAGGCAAGGACATGAGGTATTAATATTGTCAATGATCTCTTGACGGGAAAACAGATACCATACTCACCGTCAGATTTAAATAGGCATCAAGTGCATTGATGACAAAAGGGCAGACTTCAAACAAAGGGCTGTATGGTGGGGAGCAGAGCTAGTCTCTGTGCTGGCAATAACCTGATCTGAAGAGACACTGTCAGGGCTAGAGACAGGCCCAGGATTGTGTGCAGTGACAGAAAACAGAGATGCTGACAGAGATACCAGTGCCATATTATGCCAAGGATATTCTAACATTGTCTGCCGCTCTAACGAAAGCTGACATCACTCCCTATCACTTGGGGTCTTCTCCACCCGCTCCTGCAGAGCATTTCTCCCCAGACATCATGACAAAACTCGCTGCTCTAAGTTCCTGGCAGCCCTGTTCTGTCAGAGCACTTGGGGTCAAGGGGCCTAAGGATAACCTCAGTCAATCTAAATTTGGACTTTGCAGGAGGAGTGCACTCATCCCCCTGGTATCTCGGCTACTTGAGGTGATCAGTGCACCAACGTGTGAGGCGCTGTCACCTTGAATAAAATCCTTACAGGGAAGGCACTCCTCTGCGGGCTGCTGTAGGAAGGCACAGGGACGGCCTGGCAGCCAAAAATGAAATCCACCTGCTCGTGTTCTCCTAGGGAGAAAGGTGGTCTGGCTAGGGACAGTTAAAATTGGCTGAAATTTTTGAACTCACACCACCTACAATTGCTTAAATTAAGTTAAGTGTTGCCTCTGTTGAGAATCCTACCCGAGCTCACGGTTGGGAGGCGATCATTCCCTCACATGGGACTTTAGTGTTAAATAAATAAATAAATAAATGTATGTATGTATGTATGTATGTATGTATGTATGTATGTAACAAGGAAGGAAAAAAAAATCAACCCCACAATCCCATGTGTGGCCATTGGACTTTATTTATCAGGAAGATTATTTGTAAAACAATTGAATCTGCTTATAAATTAAGTGAGGTGGCAGTGTGTTTCTCTCTCCCCTGCCTCCCCATGGTCCTCTTCTCTCATGATGGCAACTGCTATAAACGGTGAAAATTACAGAGGGAACAGTTTGCTTGCAAAGAACATTTTGACAGGGAGGCGCTCCGAGGCTGGAATTTGGGAACCCGCTGGTTGTGACTCAGTAGGCGGTGGTTTCTGCGTACATCTGTAATGCATTCACTTGTTTGTATCTCCTCGAACTATAACGTCTTGGGACTGCAGGGGGAACAACACATTTAATGGCATATGTAGTGTTTTTAATTAAAATATCTGGCTTTGGCCATAATAAGTGAAACAGGCTTGCCATGCATCAGGCCGACATGTATCTGTCTGTGTGGGGGGCTCTTTTCAGGGGCCCTGAAAAATGACAGTGTGCTGTCCCCTGGGGAATCTGCTCCTGCCAAATGAGACTCCTAATTTTTCTTAAGTAGCCAGCTCTCCCATCACCATAAGCTTTTAAAACTATAATTATGAAAAAAATGTATTGGGAAGAATCTGTTTTAAAGAGGTCCTTTATCTTTTAAATGTTTCCCCCTCTGGAATGGATGTTCTAATTACACAGGTTAAGTTAAGACCTTGGGGCTGCCTGAGGGGTGAGAAGCAGCCTCTTTTCTTTTGATGCAAGACTGTGATGGCGGGGCAGTACCAGAGACTTTGCTGGGGAAGACCCTGAAAGTCCTGAGTAGAAATGCCTTGTACACTCATGCGGAGTCCAGCAAAGACCCCTAGGCTCCCTGATCCCCCAGATGGACTTATACTTTCACTTGCATTTCTGATGTCTATTTATTAAGGAGAGTGGGAGAAGACCTGTATTTAAATCCAGGTCTACCCCTAACGGTTATGTGACCACATCCATGTCCCTTTTCCTTACTGGGCTGCATTCCCCATTTGCAAAATGAAGGCAAGGGGTCAGATAATCTTGGAAGTTCATTCTAGCTCTGAAATAAGTGATTTAGTATTTTCAAATGCTTCCCTTATGAAGACAGGGATGTCAGATCCAACACTGCCTGATGCAGAAGGCAAATGCAGTGGTCAGTTAATCAAAAATTTGATTTCAACTAAGTTAGCTCTTGAAACCCATCCAGCCCACATTCCCATAATATATAGAAGAGGAGCTCTGCTGGACTTCAAAATCCCCACGGAAAGAAGTTCCACTCACTTTTGTGCAGCCTGTATTCCACACTCAGAGCTGGGAAGTGCTTCCTGCAACCGAGCCCATGCCCGGTTAGCTTTGATATGAGCCCATTAACTTATCAACTTTACATCCAACAGAGCTCAACTCTAAGTATCAGAGTAAGTGGTTGGCCTTTTGTATCTATACAATAATAGTCAAAATCTAATTTAAACAATAATAATCTAGACACACATACACATACAAATATAAAAACTTATTTGATGATGGAGTACAGGTTGGACCAATAAATTCATATGTGTAAAATAAAGTAAAAAGTATCAATGCTATTATCATTATGAACATTAGTTTTAGTAATCATCATTTTAAATGC